GGGACCGTCTCTCACATTACATTATATTTAGATTTATTCATTTAGCCGACTCTCTGCTCCAGGATGCTCCCCCCCTGAAGTGGCTGTGAGCTGCACTTTATCAGAGGAGCTGAAGTTTACATTTGTGTGGATTTATGGTGACATTTATGCCTGATCACAAGTATTTTCAGTTTCGGCTTTCCACCTCTGACGAAGATCAGTGTGCTCGTCTGATCCAGTACAGTCCCAGACGGGTTCTGTGTCGGTCAGACTTTCTAAAGGGGGTAGCCTACTAACATATCAGCAAAGCAAAAACGCTGGGTAATGCACTGCAGAGGAGCAGGTAGATTTTGTTAAAATATGACTCATTAGATTGCAATTTTATTCTCGTAATATTAAGACTTTTGTCTCAAAAATATTATTCTGCAAATGTAAGTTTTGAACATGAGCAGAAAATGTGCTGAAACACAGGAGTGCAGGAGATTATAACTGGATTATAATTAATTCATTTATCATTGGGTTAAAAAGGTGCCACATGCACTTCAGTCATGCCTACATGTGTGTTGACTCCGCAGGGATAAAATTAAATGAGAAAAGTTGACCTACAGGAGAAACATCTGACAGCAGAATACAAAATGCCTGAGAGCCTTTCTCCATTATATGACACTTTATTTTATATATTTTGAATTGTCACCTGATTTCTGTGTTTCTCTTTATATAAATAGACATTTCCTCAATAAATATGTGCAGAAAAATTAACCAGAATGCAGGAAATTAAGTGTTACAAGCACAAATATGTCCTCCAATTAATACTTATTATTAGTGTACTTATAACAATCATAATAAATATTTAAATGGCCTGATATTCAATAATTAAAATGTAGCTCAATGATTAAAAATGAATGAAATGGCAAGGGTATGAGACAAATTTCAGTTTGACAAATGGCATAACAAGTTACCAACAGAAAATTAGATGGTTGATAAGAGTTGCTGTGCATTTTTTTGTGGGTCGATACAAGTAGAGGTCATTTACTGTTGCTTTATATAATTACGTTCAATAGGCAGGGGGTGAAAACAGGTGAAAACATAAAAGACTGCTGGGCTAAGCCACCAATGTTTCAAGAACCTTCTTGGCAATTAATTAAATAATTGTTTGGTTTTGAAAAGGCAAAAAAAATGGTTCAAAGTGAACCACCCTCCCAACTCTTTAAATGCAGAGTATGACTGTTACTAGAAGCACCATTCAAACCACTTTAACATGGAGAAATTTTAATCTCAACACGCCTGCTGAGCCTAGATACAGTTGCTATGATCGGTTGAGGGAGGGGTTTAGCAAACCATCAATCAGTAACGTATTACTGTGTTTTCTACTCTGCGGCGTGTCTGACTTTCTACGTGTCACTTTGATTTATGTGATGTTCTTTTATTTTATCCTTTATTAGTGTTCAAGGTTTTATTTCTCTTTTGATTGCAGATCTCTAAAGATTATCACTGTATGTAAAGTGCTTTATAAGTTTTGTATTGAACCTCCTGACTACTCATATTTCAAGATTAATATCAAAATTCAAGTCCACTATGTAGGCCATGTGACATTAATGGGCCACTGAAACCCAGGGCGATATGTCTGATTATTAAAAAATAAAATGCTGATATCTGGATCACTTTGATCCATCAGATTAACTTTACCCCCAGCACACATCTGTCTGTAGATAGACTTCCATAATGGATCATGCAAGAGATTGACAGCTCTGAGCTCATGTGAGACCCTATTTTAAGTGGTTGCCATGTTAGCTTCACAGCAGTCAGTGACTCCATGCCACACCACTATCTCTTGGAGCAGCTCTATGAATAATTCACCACCTTTAAGAGGGAAGGAGAGACCTTGCTAGCCACATTTTGGGAAATTGAATTCGAACATCTGAAGCTGTCAGTTTGACAAAGAGACACAACAGCTGTGACAAACAGATTCTCACTGACTTTGAAGATAACGATCGTCCTGGATGAGCCAGTTTTAATGAACAGGAGGCAGAAAGCAGGTCAAACCTCCCACAATCCTCCCTGCTGCATCTTGGCCTCGTTTGCAATTCCAATTGAGTGTTGTTGATGATGATACCACTAATCACTTATGATTAGAAAATCGCCGCAGAGACAGAGAGCGCCGTCACTCTGGGATCTTCTCCCAGATAAACGCGCACACACAAAGGAAAGCAGCATTTCAGTAACCCACATCAATTATTACTGCCACAGCCTCTGTGTTTGAATCCAGCGTTTCACTTAAAATTAATCTTCAATGAATCCCTATGCAATGCACTTCCATTTATAGCACTAGCACTGAGGTGTAACTAGTTGACAACCTGTTGCACAAATCTAACACACCTGTTGCTCACATTTTCATTTAAGGAGATCAAGCAGTCTACGAAGTGGCATCACTTTATTCTTATTTAGTTTGTTGGGGGAAAGAGCTGCAGTGATTTCCATGTTCTTGCACACAGACAGATTGTGGACAAATTAAATGCAAATCTATTTAGTGATGTCTATGACCGTCTCTGATGTTACGTCCTTTTGTTATGTCATTTGTGCTATGTATTCTATCTTGCAAAAGAGATCTTGATTTCAATGAGATTACCTGATTAAATAAGAGGTTATTTATATAAATGAGGGAATATCTTCTGGAGGAATGAGGAGGTGTTCCACAGACCTGGCAAAGAGCACTGAAGCGGTTGTGTAGGCTCGTGGTGGCCTCACTCCATACTAACACACTTAATTTAGCTTTTTTTCTCCTTTCATTTGTCACCCATATCTTTTAGTGATCCGGGTACATTTGCACTTAAATGAAAGAGAAAAATAAAAATCCTTGACTTTTCCTCCTACTCACAGAATAAAAATGGTTCAGATAAAAATTTTTTTGGACTTACAAAATCTAACTTATTAGAGCTAATGTGGTCTCTTAACTTCATTAAGAGCAGTCTGTTGTAGTTTGGTGCAATGCAGAGACAAAGAGCATCATCTGAGTGATGTGTTTTGTAATGACTGTATGATTATCTCATTGGTCATGAGAAATTGTACCTTACAGAAGTAATACACAAGATATAATTCAGAATAGGGTAACCCACTGTACCATTTACAGCACAATAAGTAGTAAGTCAACCTTCAGTAAAACTCTTACCAAACTATGAGTGAACTTTGTGTTTGTGTATGCTTACTATGTACTGTATTTTACTGTAGATCATTACTAATTAAGGTGTGACAGCCCTATTTCCTCACTGGCATAATTCAATTTCTAATCTAATTAGAGTTGAAACGACTGGTGGATTCATTGATTATAGTCAACTGACAGAAAATAAATGTGCAATTATTTACATAATCCATGAATCATTTTTCATGAGATGCTGCAACCAGTGAATTATTGGCACAAATGCCAATAATTCACTGGTTGCAGCATCTCATGTGTGAATATTTTCTGGTTTACTTTGAGTTAGTTTAGTTAACTTTGGGTTTTGGACTGACATTTGAAGACACATCATTGGACTGTGGGATAGACATTTTTCCACAAATTGATTTTTCATAGACCAAACAATATATAGGTTATTCGAAACAATAATCTGGGAGATTAATCGATAACGAAAATAATTATTACATTTTGCCACTGAGTAGTCTAAAATATAAAAACATCCAGGCAAAGCCAGCGCAGTGTCTCTGCTGCGTTGACTGACAAACACTGCCACAATCAGGTATTTTGTCTTTGCCAGACTTCTGTGCAAGCGCTGATAAATTATGCAGATTTACTGGCATTACCTGCTTGGTGTAAAAAAAAACATCTAAAGTAGGTTACAAACCATCTAGACTGAAATATTTCTACAACCGGATTTTTGTCTGGGTCAGAATCAAGCATAAGCAGACATTTTATGTGCAGGCTGTCTGCGTAAGTGTTTGTGCATCTGTGTGTGTGTATAAGAAATAATAAAGTTCTGCCCAATAACTTTATTATTTCTCTCACACACACACACACACACTTTAACATTTGTTTTGTGCCATTTTCTACTCCCCCCCCCCCCCCACGGCGTTGTAATTTCTTAAAAGATGGTGCCTGAAAAAACAAAACAATGAGGAAAATGAAGGTGGTTACTTGCGTCACAAGAAACATACACAGTTAATAGGTGGCACACATCTGCAGTTGCACTAGGAGAAACACTGCCATGTGACACACACACACACGATATGGAGGCATTTGTGGCAAATTACCAGTCTGGTGCAAATCCCCTGAGGGGGGCTACAGGCCAAAGCATTAGTCAATTCAAAAGCTGTCCTTCATGACCAGACCACCATTGACTGTAATTGGTCCATTTCCTCCACAGGACCACAAAGCCAGCACACATACAAGGCTCACAAACAGTAATGCCCAAGCTACATTCGCTAAGACAGAGGAAAGCTTGTTACCTTGCAAGAAAGAAAATAGGATATTTACATAAATGCATTCCCTGTTGCTTTAATTTACATAAGACTAACGCTCTACGTCTCCCCGTCATAACCAGAGATGAGACAGAAACAGCATACCAGTAAACCCCCGAATTAAACTGGACTCCTTTTCAAACAGATTCCAGTTCACATGTAGGGCTGTGTGGTAAACAGATGGATTTGGCTGCAAAAGGAGTTTCATATTCAGACTCACACAAGCTGAGACAGTTTCACACCACAAGAATTATGGAAGCAACCCCCCCTCCATCTGGTGACAGGAGGGTGTGTGTGTGCGCGCATGTGTGTGTGTGTGTGCGCGGTAATTGCTGGAGCTCAGCTAGAGCTAATTGCTAGATCTCTCCTCTGCACCTTTTTTTATCAGAGATAATTAGGAAAAGAGAGCAAGAAAGAAAGAAAGTGCTCCCGGAGTCCGTACTCTGTTGTTTGCTCTCATATTCTCTCTCTCCTCCCTGCATGTGACGCTGTCTGCACACCCACTCCTAAAGGGAGAGAGAGATCTAGAGAGAGGGAGGGACACCGAGCAGAACTGAGAGCCAGTTTGTTTTCAGCTCCCAGTTCACTGTAGCTCCTCTGCCAGACAGCACTCACCCATCCACCATCACACACACTCAAACACATTCAACCCTCACTATAAGACAGCTGACAACACATTTTCATTTTCTCAGCAGCAGCAGCCTCACACAGCCAGATCCAAAAAAAAGAGAAGAAAAATCCTCTGCTCGATTTGAACGGCACACGCACCAGCTCGGAGGAGGCTGGGTCGAGGCTGGAGAGGGTGACTGGAGAATGGAATGGAACCTCAGAAGGATGGAAAGTGAACTCAGGCACATCAACCCGGACCTGCTGCAGCCCAGCAAGAGCTTCAAGAAGCCCTCTTCAGGGACCATCACCCTCAACGTTGGGGGGTTCCTGTACACGGCCCACCGGACCACCCTTGCCAAGCACTTGGGTACCTTTCTGGAAGAGCTGGCCAACGGTAAGAAGCCGGTCCAGCACACAGATTCCATGGGCAACCCGTTCATCGATAGAGATGGTCCAGTTTTTCGCCATGTGCTCAACTACCTCCGAACCGGAGAGCTCCAGCTGCCCGATGACTTCCGGGAGGCAGGACTCCTGCGACGGGAGGCTGATTTTTACCGTCTGAGTGAACTGGTGGAAGCTGTGATCGAGTGGGAAAGTCAGAGGGCGGCCCAGCGTGAAGCCGCCTTTTTGGAGATGACAGATAGCCATGAGCGGTCACAGGGCCTCAAGGTGTACTGCAGCGACCACGCCTTCATCGACAAGGTGAAAGCGCGGCTGGTGCAGATCTCCAAGAGTCGCCTGGACGGCTTTCCAGAAGAATTTGTGGTGTCGTCCAACGTGATCCAGTTCCGACACTTCATCAAGTCGGAGCCGGGCTCGCGGCTCGTGCTGAAGGAGGACAGCACATTCTTGTGCACACTTGACTGTCTGAAACTAGAGACAGTGATGCTCGCACTGAGATCAGGCTTCAAGCTGGTCACCAGCCTCGACAGCAGCAAAGGCTCTGTGGTGGCGGCCGAGGCCCTGCACTTCGTCAAGTAGGATGGAGGGAAACAGAGGGAAGTGCGGGGGGTGATAGAGGGAAAAGAGTAGTGCCTGATTCCATATCCACCCCGCTAATGTAAGGTATTGACTTGAATATCTTCTAACATGTGCTGAGCTGTAATGTGTCATTGGGTGGGAGAAGGAGAACGGGTGGGTTGGACTGTCTCACAGGACAGTGTTTATATCTTTACTGCACAATGCTGGCTTACAAAGAAAGGATTTGGCAACATTTGGGTGATTCTGTTATCTGCAGAATGGCATTTTGGCATCAACCTTTACACTGCTTTGCAAGCATTTATATAATTCAGAATGATTCCATGGGCAAATTAGCATTTATGATTTTAGAAATTGCATTTGAGTACATAGCACACAAAAACTAAACTTTGTAATGTGGGAGACAAGCAGTGATCAACCGGGGGGGGGGGATCAAACTGAGAGTCTGAACACCGACAGCTTTATCAGTGGATCTGTCTCTGCACAAGAACTGCTTCTGCTGCTTTGTCAACGGTTGCAAAAGCCTTCAAACCCAGCCGTGGTGTGCACTGTTGTGCCACTCAGCTTTTACTACAGCCTGTGTGTGTGTGTGTGTGTGTGTATGTTATACACTGTGTGTGCTGTGTTTAGTTGGTTTAATAGCTTGTGTTTAGTTTATTAGCCTCTCTGGAGCCTGAGGGGTAAACTGCAGCGCATTATGGTAGTGTTTTGGATGGACATACCAACTTCCCATCCAAAATCAAACTGAAGCAGCATAAACTGTTTCTCAGATCATGTCAACAAGTTGAGTTTAAGTGCAAAGAACCATGATTGTTGTAAGGGCTTTGAATCTAGCATGATGCATGTGCACTAAATGAACGGTGTGTTTGTTGGTGCTGTGAGCCTCTGTGAAGTCACAACAATGCCTATTACTTTTCAATGTGATAATTTTACAAATAAAAGTGACACTGAAACTATTGTAAAGTGTTTTGAAGTGTATTCTCAAAAGTCTGTGGCATTGCTTGGCGGAAAAAGCCTGCCGAATAGCGCTTATGATGATGTTGAGAAGTTACTTTGCATATAAATTATAAAACATCAGGCAGCCACTCTTAGAATCTACTAAAATTATGTAATAGCATAAAAGCTATACTAATCACCCTTTAATTCTGACCCATATGAACTTACAGTCTGCACAGTGTGTAACTGTTAATCACTGAGCCAGGAGCGAGCATTATTAGTGTTAAGTTTCCCGAATATTCTGATGCAAATAAGTGATAGAGACACACTGAACTGAACTCACTTTCAGCTTTACCAAACCTGAATTCCTTGCATAAATTACTCCTTTTACACTTCTCTGCATGTGTTAAGATGCCATTTTCCACATCTGGACCAATCTAGAAGGATCACAGGAGCAACAATAACTATGTGCAGCATATTCTATTTTACACACATTAGGTGTCAGAACAGTAGAGGGTGAAATGTTTCTGGGTTTTTGCTCCATGAATGAAAAACAGACCAAAACCCACTTTGGACAGTTAATTCTGAAAGTGGCTTTCATTGATCAATGCCACTTGAGGATCTTCAAAATTAAAAGCCCTCTTTGTAGAAATTATCGGGGCCGTTTCGATTACAACATTTTTCAAATCATTATTATAACTACACAAAAAATTGTTATGTACAATTTGTCTCAAATTTTTTGGGCTTCTAAGAAGCTAATCAGAGATATTATATAAAGGATTTTAACATTTTCGCATTTGGCGTATGGAAAGCAGACAAAGTGATATTGCTGGAAGCTTAGTATATGACTAATGACTGATTAATTCCAACCCTAATAGAAATGTATTGTATGTATATCTGCTTCATGTGGAGTGAATTTTAAATTCTTCTGCACATCCTGACATCACTGTTAGTCGGCCACACCCAAAAACGACACTGAGGGTCAACAGGCTCGGTGACAACATTTTTCAGCCTGGTGTTATGTTCATCTCTAACGTTATCATGTTGATGCTCCTGCATTGAACACACGATAAAGGCCTTTGATTTTCTGAATTTAGCAAATGATCTTACATCAAGCTGAAACAATGATGAACAGAATTTGATGACAGTCATTATTTGTTAAAAAAACCCTCACAATGTTATCATCCAATAATGTCTATCACACACAATCAGTTAACACTTAAACTAAAACATGCTCTGCCCTGCTCTCACCTTCAGACCACCTGCTGTAATGACTGAAAGTAAGTTGCACTGGTTCCACCACAGTGCAGCAACTCTACCTGCAGTAGCCTTTAGGGAGCCCCTTCAAACCCTCCCAGCTCCAGTAAAGATATTTGGTATTTTAAAAGTAGGCCAGTCTGTGAGATAAATCCTGCCCTTTTCCCCCAAGGAGGACCTCTTTTTATCTCTCTGCATTTTACTCTGATGTGTGTCTTCATCAATGTTAGCAGCAATATACCATTGTTCACACTAATGAGCAGGGAAAATATTTAACACAAAGGGTGGGGGACCTGTGAGGGAGAGGAGGTTCAGAATCCATGCAGCAGAGGCCCAAATATCAAAATATTTAGTCTCTAATACTATTTAAGCTAAAAAAGAGAGGGAAGCAAGCTTGTGACTGGGAGGTTTTCAGATCAGCAGGATAAGTCTGGGTGGGGAAAGTGAAAAAGCAGCGCTTGTCCCTCCCTCATTACCACCACTGAGGCCCTTAACCCCAACCACTCCAGTGGAGCTGCCAGCAGATCAGACTGCGGATGGATCAGACTCCTCCAGAGCCAAAGAAGACATTGCTCAACTGTTTTCACAGGCTGAGTAGAGCATCAAGTCAAATGAATTTCATGTGTCAAATCAGGGGAGTGCCCCTTTATATAAGCAACTAAACACATACTCTAAACAAACAAATCACATTAATATCCGAAGGGAGGAGAAGGTTGAATAAAATCCAAGTTAAGGTCTTTTAAGGTCTTGGGTCCAATTTATTCTTCAGTTTGCATTGCTCCAATCACATGTCAATAGGTTGATTATACTGGGTCACAAAGAAACACTGTAATGGCTGCATTTAAGGACAAAAAATCTGCTTTGGCAGTCGCCGATGTTCCTGGTGCCAAAGCAAATGCAAGACAAGTCTCGGCTGGTTCATGTCCAAACAATGTGAAGCGGAGATATGTCAAGGCCCATTTACGGAAACATGTGGGAGTAGAAATGTTTAAATGTAATAATTCCAAGTACTGAAAAGCATGAATCTCATCCAAATTGAATTCTTGCAAGAGTGGAAAAATCCCTCATTCTGCCTGTTGGAACTGTAACTCTGATTGTTGGTATGCTCTGTAACTAAGTGAGTGAGTGGCAGGCAACTCTGCAGACAGCTTTAAATGAAACAGCATCTCTCACTGTAGCTCTAACTGTGCATCTCCACTCCATGGTGACTGAAACCGCCTGCTCCAGCAGGCGATGTCGTCAACCGTACGACCAGCCGCCACCATCCACATCATGACTCATACACCCACATCAACCTCTGACATCAAGCAAACCTTTTCCAAAGCCCACTTCTCACAAACCCAGACGAACAAACTACAACGCACAAGTAACACCGCAAAGTGAAACGTGAGCCCCTTTAAGAGGAGATAAACGCCGTGAACCTGTCTGGTTCAGATGCCACGCTTAGCACTGATCCTTTACTGTAAACAACATCAAACCTTGGGCCCTTTTTTAATTGCAGATCAGCTCCATGCATCTTTTATGATGATGACTGCTTTACTTATTAGTTGCAGGGTCAAAGTGATCCATGCCTCATCAAAAGGCAGCTTTGGATGATGAGGGAGGCAGGAGGTGCAGGTGGTAACAGCAGTGAGAAAAGCTGAAATCACACTACTATCAACAGTCTTATCTCAGTCTGTTCACCTGTTGCCAGGCAAACTCAACTCCATACGCTCTCTCGAACACACACACACACACACACACACACACACACACACCACCCCTCCTTATCGCGACGCCTCAGTCGTGTGTGTCGCTTGGCCAGAAAATGACTAACATACCTTAGATATTTTTGCTTTCAACTCCAGAGAGAGAGGCGATGGCAGGAGGAGGAGGGAGGTCAGATCCCTTTTACTCACGGCTCAGACAAAAGAGGCAGCAGAGACTATTATTCAGTCACAAAAAAGAGACGAGAAACCGATAGATATTTTTAGATTGAAGCTGCCAGTCGTTGATACTTGTCCCTAATGAAACTTCAAGTGTCTCCCCTAAGAACTGTACTTTTTCCTCAGGGTATGAAAGTCTCTGAAACAGCATTTACACTTAAAAACAAAAACGTGTCTTGGGAAGCAGTGAGTCTCAAATGCAACCCTAAAGATATTTTTCTTCAAGAATAAAAACAATTCTTTCAGTGAGGTGAGATAACTCCACTTGCTCCCCATCCAGTTACTCTTGTTTCAGGAATTTTCTAGAAATAAGTCATCTTCACTTTGTATCTTGGACCCGGTAAGCGGTAAAGAGGTCAGATCAGAAAGAGAAAGATGTTCAGAGGAGCTCCAGCAGAGCAGAAGCAGAGAGACAGAACGAGGTGAAAGGAAATCAGAGCCAACCTGCCCTCCACCTTCCTACTGTATGTGTGAAAGTGGTAATTAACAGACAGGTGTATTCATTCAAATCAATGGCAATACAATGGAGTGATGTAGTGACTGACATTATTTTCATCCCATAGTTTCTGTATTGTAGGGTGTACAGGACTCCACACTTCAGCCTAATATAAACGTATACACACACATTGCCTGTACACATCGATTATAAGATCGTTAAGTGACCAGTTCACAATCAGCAGATGGATTTAATAGTAGTGTAGCTTTTGAATTCATGCTAAAATCCCATATTTACTGTTAAAAAAAATTCTGCTTTCACACCACAAAACAAACAAACAAACCGCACCAGCCGGTCTGCTTGGAAACAGACCGAGATCCTCCTTTTTAAGCAGTATCGGTGCAGTTGTTTGGTCCGCACCATGGTTCGGTTGACAGTTTTCACACCAGCACAAACAAACCACACTAACTGGGCAAACAGACAGATCTCATGAGATCACAGGAAGCCTCTGAAAAGGAGATTATGGGTTGCCAGTGAAGGTAGAGTAAAGCGGAGTAGAACTCAAAATAAAAAAAATTTCAGGAACAACATCATATCACAATGCAAGGCATTTGTATAGCACATTTCAGCAACAAGGCAATTCAAAGTTCTTTACAGAGAAATTACATGAAGGTGGAGTGTGTGATTTCAACTATTTTTCAATGAAGATAGCAAGAGAGAACCTGGGGCCATGGAGTATTTTTGCAGCATAACATGTAAGAGTACGGGTTAGTTTCTGTGTCTCTGAGCAAACAATGATGCTTCCATGTGTAGTCTGCTGTGTGCACGGTACTGAATGGACCACAGGGTACATACACACTGCAAAAATGTGTGAGGGGGAGTGGGACGTCACTATATATACACACACACAGCAAACGTTTACCCCCACGGCCCCCTAACAGGTTGATCCTGCCATGTACATGCCAAGTAGTAAGTGGATGTGTGAGAATATGTGGCTGCATGTTATTTTATAGTAGAGACCAGATTTAGTAATAAGTATAAGACGTTATCCCTGTTGTGACATACATCTAAATTTGTCAACCTGAATTATGACTAACTGGAAGACACTGTAATATCTTTAAACGCCAAAATAAGCCTGTATGCAGTTTGAAACGTGAGTAAACCCACTAAAAATAGACGACTGACATCAGTGGTAGACGAGTTTGCATTTTCTGTTAATTTACAATGTGTCGTGTTAAACGTCACAAATGTACCTGAAAATAGGGTTAGTAAACAGTATAAAGCAGCCCTGCTGATCAAAGGTGGGGTCAATAAATACCCGTGATGACTACAGAATAATTTCACCCAGGAGTGGGTACCCTTTCATAAATGCCAGATGTTAGTAGGCGTTGGTGGGGTTTTTTGT